AGAGGTGAGGAAGGAGGGCATTCTAGGCATGGGAGACAGCCAGAGAAAATGCCTAGAGTGGAGAAATGGAGTGTATGATTCATGGAACAGCCAGTATCATTGGATCAAAGAATAAGAATTGAGGGACAAGGTGTGAGAAGACTGGAAAGGTAGGAGGGGGCTAGGTTATAAAGCGCTTTGAATGTCAAACAGAGCATTTTGTCTTTAACCCTGGAGGCAACAGGAAGCCACTGGAGTTTACTGAGTAGGAGGGGAACATAGTCAGACAGGTGCTTTAGGGGGAAAAACCACGGAAGCTGAATGGAGGATGGATTGGAGTGGGGAGAGACTTGAGGCAGGCTGACCCACCAGCAGGCTATTGCAATAGTCCATACGTACTTAAGATGATGAAGGCTTGTATCAGGCTGGTGGCAGTGTCAAAGAAGAGGAGCGGATGTATTCGAGAGATATTGCAAAGGCAAAACCAACAGGCATCAGCCACAGATTGAATACTGGGGTTGAGAAATAGTGAGGAATCCAGGATAGTGCCTAGGTTATAAACTTGGGGGACCGGGCAGATGGTGTTGCTCTCTATAGTAACAGGGAAGGTCAGAGGGGGAATGTGATTTAGGGGGAAAGATAATGAGTTCTGTTTTGGACATGTTGCATTTAAGATGTCTACTGGACATCCATTTCAAGATGTTTGAAAGTTGGTTGCAGATGCAAGATTGGAGGTCAGCAGAGAGGTTGAGGCAGGACTGGTAGATCTGAGAATCATCAGCATAGAGATGGTAATTAAATACATGTCAGCTGATGAGATCACCAAGTAAAGCAGTACAGAAGGAAAAAAAAGAGGGCCCAGGACAGAACCCTGAGGGACACCTGTGGTGACACGGCGTCATCTGGCCTGGAAAGGAGAAGGAGGAGTTGTGGATGATTTCTAAGGTCCCTTCATAACCCTATGATATTGTATAACCCCAATAGCAACTGACACTTCTGCTATTCCTTCCTGAACCCCAGTCCCCTCACCAAACCCCACAAGCCTCATCTTTTCCTCCCATTTGCTTCTCTTCTTCTTCCCTTCTCCATTTCTGTCTAATCTGAATGCCAACAAAATGACCTCCTTACCAGGTCCACAACCCCTAAGGTTTCCACATCTGCCTACTTTCACCAATGCTCCAATTTTCTGACTGAGGCCCAGCCTTCCTGCTGCCCATCTGCCCTGGTTCCTAAGGAGCAGTATATTTACCATACTGGGCAGAGCACTGAACTTCGAATTAGCAGACCTGGGCCCTGGTCTCTGCTTTGTCACTAAGTGGGATTGGGTGAGTGATCAAACCTCTCTGAGCCTCAGTTTCCCCATCTGTGAAATAGAACTAAATGATTGAATGATAGTCAAGGTTCCTGCCAGCTCTAAAACTGTACCCCACTCCCTGAATCAGCAAGTGTTTACTGAGTACTCACCCTGCCCCTAAATCCACCCTAAAGCACTATGGGGAACATTGGAGAAATACCCAATAAATTCCCTGTCTTGAAGGAGTTATAAAATCATAGATGTAAAGCTTAAAAGATTCCCGTCGTTTTACAGATGAGAAAATTGAACCACACAAATGTAAAGTGACTTGCCAAAAATCTCATAACTAGTGTCAGGGGGATTTGAATTCAGACCCTCTGTCTCTCAATCTGGCATTCATGCCACTGGGCCATGCCATCCCTAGGGATCAAGGATGGCTCTCCCCTGAGCATCACAAGGATAAGTATGTACATCCCAGGGAGCTTTCCTCCAGAATTTACCCTTCTCCCTAAATCCAAACACTGGGTCCTGCAGCCTGACCCACAGAAAGGGGAGTAAGATGATGAAAGCAATGGAATTTACAGAAAGGAGTTTAAAAAAAAAAAGCCTGGAATCAAAGAAGTAAGTTTAGAGGTAGGAGCAGTGACTCAAGGTCCTATTCTTGAATAATAATAATAATAATATTTACATAGTGCTTACTTAGTGTCAGGGCAGCTAGATGGTGAAGTGGATAGAGTGCCCAGCCTGGAGTCAGGAAGACCTGAATTCAAATTTGGCCTCAGACACTTATTAGTTGTGTGACCTTGGGCAAGTCACTTCACCCTGTTTGACTCAGTTCCTCATCTGTAAAATGAGCTGGAGAAGCAAATGGCAAACCCCTCCAGTATCTCTGCCAAGAAAACCCCAAATGGGGTCACAGAGTCAGACGCTACGGAAATATGCCAGGTACTGTGCTAAGAGGTTTACAATTGTTATCTAATTTGATCCTCACTACAACCCCGGCGGGGGTAGGTGCTGTTATTATTCCCATTTTACAGATGAGAAAACTGAGGCAAACAGAAGTCAAGGGATTTGTCCAGGTACACACTGCTAGTAAGTGTCTAAAACCTCATTTGTAGGCCTAACTCTCTATCTATCCCCTGCCCCACCAACTGCCTCATTTTCAATATTCTAGTTTTTATTATTCTTACTTGTGATTATACTTTTTCATCCTTACTACTACTACTACTACTAATATCTAATATTTATAAAACACTTTAACACTTACAAAACACTTTGCTGTATATTATCTCATTTTATCCTCACAACACTGGGCTGTCCCAGGTTAAAGGCCTCACCTAAGATCACAAAGCTATCACACTGAGTTTGTGGCAGGGACTTTGGCTTATTTATCTGGATATCTCCCCCCTACTAGGTCAAATGATGCATTAATAATGAATCTTTTACCCCTAGAGGCAGGGTAGTGCTGGAGAGTGGTGTGGGCAAGTAAATGGAAAGAACCAATATGTGTGGTGGAAAGGAATATGAGGAAGGGTCCAGCTAATTGTAACTGGGTCCCCCAGTCTCTTTGAGCATCGTCCGACAGTCATCTCCTCCTGCTTCTCTTTCTCCTCCTCCTCTTCCTTTTTTCCTCTTCTTCCTCCTCCTCTTCTTCCGTTTCCTTTTTTCTCCTCTTCTTCCTCTTCCTTTCTTTCCTCCTGTTGTTCTTCCTTCTCCTCCTCCTTTTTTTCTTCTCTTCTTTCTCCTCCTCCTTTGATTTTATGTCTTCCTAAGAAAATCTCTTCTTCCTCTTTTTTAACAAAAATGAGGTAGGGGCAAGGAATCACAATGTGGTTTGCCCCAGACTCTCCACTCCTCAGGCTATGGAAATGAGCAAGCAGTCGGCCTTGGGCAAAGAAAGAATCAGGTGTATTTTGGTGGCTAGCCCACACTCCCTGCTTTTGAATCGGAGGTTTTTGATTGGGAGATACGACTTTAGCAGCTATTCTCAGTGACTCAGAGAACTCCATGGATAAAATCACTGGCAGCTTTAGCTTCCTGGTTCTAGTTCTCAGCATTCACCTCTCTCTCTCTGTCTCCGTCTCTCTCTCTCTGTCTCTCTCTCTCTCTTCTCTCCTCTCCTCTCCTGTCCTCTCCTCTTCTCTTCTCTTCTCTTCTTTCTCTCTCTCTCCCTCCCTCCCCCTCTCTCTCCCTATCTTTTCTCCTCTCCTCTCCTCTTCTCTCTCTCTGTCTCTCTCTCTCTCTGTCTCTCTGTCTCTCTGTTTCTCTCTCTCTCTCACACACACACACACACCTGTATGGCCCATTGTGATTTTCCCAACTTGCAATACCTAAAGGATGGCTTTCTTCACATGCAGCTAGCTTTTAGAACTGGAATGAACTTTTAGAGATCTCCTAGTCCAACTCTCAGCAATTGACTCAAGGAACACCCAGGCAATAAAGATAATGTCATTTATATATCCTTTAAGTGCTTCACTTATGTCATCTCATTTGAGGCTCCCAACAATCCTGGGAGGTAGGTGTTATTATTAGCTTCATTTTACAAACAAAGAAACAGACAGTTTAAATTACTTGCCCAAGGTCACTCAGCTAATAAGTGTATGAAGCAGGATTTAATCTGAAGTCTTCCTGAGGTCAGGTCCAGCACACTATCCACTAGTCCGTCTACCTGCTTAATACATGTAATTGAACCAGGCAGGAAGTGACTAACAGAAGCAGAACTCAAGGCCAGATGGCCAGTATTCCAAATTACTACACCATATTGCCTCTAGACTGGCATTCTCTTTGTGAGACCTTCTCCATTGGTAGGGCCTTCTAAGTCTGTAAGATCCAGGCCTGAGACCATCTATCTGCCCATGGAGGCAAATAAAAGGCCAAATGGGAACTGGTTCTCACTTCCCCTCCTCCTTCAACTCAAAGAGAAAATCCCTGGCTATTAGCTTTTTAAGCAAACCCAGCCAGACTATCAAATATAAACACATTCCTCCCAACACCTTACAGTTTTAATAACAGGGATAGTTTGTAATGATCTCCCAGAGACACAGTTAAGATTCAATAAATATTCGTGTAGCTCTGTCCAGGAAAATGGTTTTCTTTTTTGGATGAATAAGAGTTTTTTATAGGAAAGTTGCACACAGGTCCCACGCCCCCACCCTCACCCCCTGGGTTTTTTTGCCTGTGTTCCCAAGATTGGTTTCCTCACAAGTAAAATGGGAGACTTAGACTGGACGATTCTCAAGAATTTCTTTCAATTCTAACATGAGAAGGATCCATTAGTTATTTGATTTTCCATTTGAAGGGAAGGGGTGTCTGCAAAGAGGGAGCCCTGATTTTTAGCTTCTTCTCTACCCTCCCTCTCACACCTTCCCACTCCTACCCCACCTCTCACTCCAACCACCCCAACTTGGAGTGACGCTATCAGGCTAGTGTGATGGAATGAACCCTGGGTGGGGAGTCAGGAGAAATTCTAATCCTGGTGACTTTGAACAAGTCATGTCCGTCTCTGGGACTCAAGTTTCCTCACCTGTAAAACGGGAACAATAATTTTCCTTTCGGTTTACCAAGCCAGGGCAACCCATCGTGACCTCCTCTCACCCCAACACACCTATAGCTTTCTCCGGGAGATGCGCCCCCTCGGTGGGGGGAGTCTGTAGTCCTTACAAGGAGTTTGGCCACAGCTCAGAGGATGGCTCCGCCTGCCGGGTCCTCCTCCTCTTTCGCCCGAGGGCCCCAGCAGCACTAGAGAGGGACGGGGCAAGCAGCATTGAGCCGAAGCTGGAGCTGGAATCGGAGCCCAGAGCTCCAGAGCCCGGGTGGCCACGTCCAGTGCCACGGTGGAACCAAGGTGTGGGGTGGCGGTGAGGGAGATGTGGAGGTCTTCTGCCAGAATGCGAGAGTGAACCTCGGCATCTGAGGTCCTGGCACGGTCCCCTGCGTTCCAGCTCTCCCTCTGGGGCCAGGCAAACACCCAGGCGGGACGCCCCCGCGGCGCCCCGGGCTCCCAAGAGTCTGTTTCTTGTCCCCGACAGCTACCTGACTAAATAACCTGGGGACTTGAGCTGGAGCCGCAGAAGGGGCACGAACGCCTAGGGGAATTGCCTTTACCTGCCTGCTCCAGGGAGTGTGGGCAGCCTAAGGTTTGTTGCACGGAGGGACTCGGTGTTAAGGGAATCCCCTCTTTGGCCTCTTTCCTCCCTCCCACCTGTTCCAGGTGAACTCACCGCCCGCCGGTCATCCACTCCTAGTGAGCCTCTGCTATTCTCCTAGAGGCGACATTTCGCCCCTAGGGGTCCTCTGCCCGCTGGACTTGTCATGTCGTCCGTGTTTGGCAAACCCCGGGCTGGGAACCTTGGTCCTGAGCGCCTGGTACACAGTTCGATCCCCGAGGTTAACGTGGCCATCCTGGGTTGCAGAGGAGCCGGGAAGTCTGGTGAGTGGGGTGGGGGAAGAGAGCAGGACTGTTGAACCCTTACCTCCCAGGGGCTCCCCCAAGCAGGTATAGATAGAAGTGTCTATTTGGGTAGTGTTTGATTGGCAGGCCACTGTAGTCCTTTCACACCTTTCTCTAGTCCAGTGCAGAGATGATGGCTTTTGTGTTTCCTTCTACTCTTCCCTCCCCCTAGGGTCTGGGGGATGATACCTGGTGGGGATACCTACGCAGAGCCTGCCAAGGCCAGACCTCCGAGATACACAGATTCAGTCACAGACCGGGACAGTCTCCTGGGGAGACAAATAGGCTTTTGGTGGAGGGTTTTGGATAATGGAAAAATCAGAGTCATTTGGGAAGGCATCTTGGAGAGTCAGCCCGTCTATAGAGAGCTGGCCTCAAAGCCAGAAAGAACTAGGTTCAAGTCCCATCTTGGATACATGCTGGTTGTATGACCCTGGACAAGTTATTTAGTCGATCAGTGCTCTAGGCAACTCTCTGAATTGTAGATAAATTGCTCCCCAGGATTGGCCTAATCTGGAAGTTCCCTACAAGGAGGAAATCATGGGTCCAGTAGCTCTCCCCATTCCCATCCCTTTGGGAGATACAGCCTGACTTATATGGCAGGTCTGAGCACCTTTCAGTTTTGTCTTTGTATCATTATCACCTAGCACAATGCCTGCCACTTGATAACTTAATGATGTTTGTTCATTGATTATTGAAGGGATTTGGAAGGGGTGTTGAGAGAGGAGAGGAAATCATGGAAGCAAAATGCCTGGGTTTTGAGAAATGCAAACCCCCTCACTCTTGCAGAAACAGTTTCTTCTTCTTTCATAGGATTTTCCTACGTAGCACTTTGCTTTCTTTAATGCATTTATCATGCATTATTTACTGAGCATTTTAGTTATCTGGGTTTATCTTCTCTGCCAACAGGACTGTAAATCTCTGGAGGGCAAGCATCCTATCTTATTTAAGCTTCTTATCTTCCCAAGCTGTCAGTCAATCAACAAGCATTTATTGAGTGATGAGTATGTGCTAGGCACTATGTACTAATTTCTGGGAACACAAAGAAAAGCAAAAACACAGTGTTTGCCCTCCAGGAGCTGACATTTAATAAATGTACCTCGAATTGGAATTTGGAAATGGGGCTAAAGCAACTATGGCAGTTGGAAATGAAGACTTGGGCTTAGGACTTCATTCATTGGTCTCTTTGTCCCTTCTGTCTTGACTGAGCCCAATCAGCTGGGGTCTTTCTTTGAGATTGCTCTATGCTCACTTAACCATTTTTAAGTTCCCAATGATTAGTGAAGGATTCTACTTAAGCCCAATCGGAACCCTTTTCCCCTTTAGACCTGTGATGGTTGAGCAGACTGCAACTTTGAAACTGGTGCCCTGGTATAGAACAGAATTGGCACCTGGTTTTCCTGAAGCATGAAAAGTGGATAGAGAAGTAGTGAGGTATAGTGTATGGAGAGCTGGCCTCAGTGTTAATAATGATGATAATGATGATAATAGCTAACATTTAGATAGCACTTAGTACATTCCAGATACTGTGCCAAGTGCTTTACAATTATTATCTCATTTTATCTTCACAACAAACCTAGGAGGTAGGTACTATTTTATCCCCATTTTATAGATGAGGAAACTAAGGCAGAGGTTAAATGACTTGCCCAGGATCACAAAGCAGTTAGTAAGTGTCTGAGTCCACACTTGAATTCAGAGCTTTCTGACTTCAGGCATGGCACTCTATGTGCTGTGCCACCTGGATCATATCTTTCCTCTGCTACCTACTGACTGTGTGATTCTGGACAAGTCATTTAACTTTCCAGGGCTCTAGGCAACTCTCTAAAACTAAGTTGCAGAGAAAGTGCTACCCTGGATTGATAACAGGGAGTTTCATTATCTGAAAGTTTCCTACAACAAGGAAATCATGGGTCAAGTCCCCATCTCTTTCCTGCAGAAAAGGGTTATTCTCACCCTTACTGGCAGCTTTGCCTATTTGAGAGAATATCCTTTCTGTATTTTGGAGAACTACCTATTGTGTCAAGGCAGAACATATGTTTTGTTTGTTTGTTTGTTTTGTTTTGTTTTAAATAGGAAGAAATTGTCTTCTTAGCATTGAAAAGCAAGATGTTAAGTAAGCAAAGAATTCTATGGCATCATTTATTTCGCCAACAGTTATATAAATGAAAGAATTTAAATTTTCAAACATGCATTCCCTAGATGGTAGTTTGCAAAAATCATGGAGCCTTCGAATCTTGGGAAAGAGTTTTAAGAAGCACTTAGAAAAGCACTTTTAGTTAAGAAAATATACTGCTTTTTTTTTTAAGAGACCGGCCTAACAGCTGACCTTGCATGACTAATTTCAGTACCCAGAACAAACCTCTGTTGACTTTGCTAACTGATAAATGCTCTTCATATGTTGAAAAATTCATTCCAAAATTTTATGTTCCAAATTTGTTCCAAAAATTTTATATTTAATGAAAACATTCCTACTGGGACTTTCTATGGTCTGGTGTTTTTATCACAGTAAACTTGGACCTGGGAAGGAGCAAGGACTAGAATTTTAAAATCAGTCTATCTGGACCACAGGCTGGGATTTATCTCAGGAAAATAGGGGTTTTATAACCCTCCTGAGGGACTTTTCATATCTCTAGTTTTTATCTTTTCTTTTGGGTCCCATTGCAAATTGGAGTCAAATTCCCACTTGAGCACCCTGGTGTGATTTCTCTACAGATAAAAAGCTCTTCCCTCCTTCTTATGTTTCTCCAAGCAAAGGACTAGGAGACTTACAGCTTCTTGGCTTATCCAGATTTTATATAACTCTGACTGTAGCCATCATTTGCCCTTGGGTGTTTTAATCCCTGGCTTTTTTTAAATCCCTGAGTATTACTAGAGGGACATGTGATCTCCTCGTTTCTGATTCCTTTGGAGTGGGTTGAAGACCTTAATGGTGCCAAACCCTCGTTAGTGGTTTTCTATCTCTTTTCTATCTCTTTTTCTCCCTGGAGAGCTGGACTCTCCATCAGTGGGGTGGCAGCGGGGGTGGGGGTGGGGTGTGTGTGAAGGGTGGGTCAGAAGGATCAAAATAGTTGGTTGTTTCTCTAAAACATTCATGTGCCAGCTTCCAGTGAAAAGAGCCTAAGATGGCAGGAGAAGATTGGAAAAACATTTCATTTGTTTGTTTGTTTTTTGCCTCTTGCAGCTTTGACCGTGAAGTTCCTGACCAAGCGGTTTATCAGTGAATATGATCCCAATTTGGGTAAGATGCTCATTTATCGCTTTCCTCTCCCCTCGTTTCTCTAGACAGTGGCTCCATCCAGCTACCCCCAAGATAATCCCTAAAGCTATGATGAGGTTGAGGAGGAGGGGTGAATTACCGAGATAAAGTGAGTGTAGTAGAAAGAATACTGGTTCAGGGATCAAAGAACATCCATTCAAACCTTGGCTCTCCTGCTTTATTACTTGTAGGATCCTTGGGCAATTAATCAATCAATCCAATTTAATGTGCCCAAGCACTGGCCTAGATATGGGAGACACAAAAACAAAACACGAAGCAATCCTCCTGCTGAAGGATTTTACAAGCAAGAAAGTCACGTTGCTTCTGTCGTCCTCAGTCTCCTCACCTATATACTGAGAGAGTTGGACTACATCATTGTTAAATTCACTTCCAGCTCTAAATCTATAACCCTGTGATGTAGGCTCAGGCCCTGGCTTTGACACTTAAAATTTATGTGACTTTGGCCAAGTCATTTCACTTCTCAAGTGAATTATAATTTTCTCATCTGTAACATGAAGGGGTTGGAGTAGATAGTGCTTCCAGCTATAAAATCCTATCAACAGATTGATTCCCTAAAATTATTTTTTTGGGGGGGTTAGGCAATGGGGTTAAGTGACTTGCCCAGGGACACACAACTAGTAAGTGTTACGTGTCTGAGGCCGAATTTGAACTCAGGTCCTCCTGAATCCAGGGCCAGTACTCTATCCACTGCGCCACCTAGTTGCCCCCTAAAATTAATTTTTTGAGGAAGGAATGAACTGCCTCATAGACAGTGCTGCCACCTATGTTGCTCCTCCTTCCCTGACTGGGGCTGGCCTTCTTTTCAAGGCTGAGAGATGTTGCTTTAAAATACAAGACAAGCTATATAGTAAGAATAATTTTTTTGAAAACAACCATATCAGAGCTTATGTATCTAAATGAATATGGTCTTAGGCTGAATGGGGTGGTTTAAAGACCACTAGACTTGATTCAAAACCATAGGATTTTAGGGTTGGAAGGAACCCTAGAGATCATCTTGTCTTAAACCTCTCATTTTGCAGATGATGTGCAGAAAGTCCAGCTATCTTCTCATATCTCTGTTCCCTTTTATAGCCAAACTCCTAGAGAAAACTGCCTCTCTACATCCCTACCTTCTGTTTCCTCACCTGCTACTTCTTTCTAAACCCTTTACAATCTGACTTCGAGCCCATAACTCTGAAGAAACTGTTTGCACTATTTTAATTTTTAAATCTGATGACTTTTCCCACTCACCCCCTATCCTCATCCTTCTTAATCTCCCTTGAGCTTTTGACAACGTTGACTACCCTCTTCTCCAGTATATGACCTCCTCCCTCCGTTCCCATGACACTTCCTTCTCCAATCCTATGTCTCTGATTGCTCCTTCTCGATCTCTTTTGCTGGGTCATCTTCCCTGTCCTGCCTCCTAACCATGGGTATCCCCCTAGGGTGTTTCCTGGACCCTCTTTTCTCTCTCTCTCTCCCCTCCTCTACTTTTGGTGGTCTCAACAGCTCGTATGAATTCAATGATCTCTACACAGTTGACCACCAATCTTTCTCCTCAGCTCCACTTCTACATTGCCAACTCTCTGCTGGACATCTTCACTAGATGGCCCATTGGCATCTCAAATTCATCATGTCCAAAGCAGAGCTTATTATCTCCCCCCTCCCCCCCTAAAGCTCTCCCTCCTTCAAATGCCCCTGGTTCTGTTGAGGACACTTCCTGTCACCCAGATTTACAACCTCAGAGTCAACTTTAGCTTTTCACTGTCACTCACTCACCACATCCAGTCAGTGGCCAACTCAATTCAATCTCAACTACATTTTTCATACCCTATCCCCTCTCCACCCATAGGGCCATCGCTCTAGTTCAAGCCCTCATCCCCTCTTACCTGGACTGCTTTACAGCACAGTTGCTTTCTGTGCTTCCACCAGTCTTTCCCCTCTCAAATCCGTTCTCCACACAACTACTAAAATCATCTTCCTAAAGCACAGATGTGTTTTGACAACATCACTGCCCTGCTAAGGAATCTTCTCCAGCTTTCTATTGCCTCAAGGATAAAATGCAAATTTTGTTTGGCTTTTAAAACCCTTTATAATCTGACTCCAGTCTACCTTTCCAGATTTTACACAGTCATGTACTCGTCTTCTAGCCAAAGTGACTGACTTACAAACTCCTCACTGCATATCTTTGCATTGACTTCCTCCAGACACTCCCTCCTTATCTCTCCTTTTAAAAATCCTTAGTTTCCTTGGGTCAGTTCAGGTGATACTTCCTACTGGAATCTCATCTTCTTTTCCTTCTCCTTTTCCTCCTTCTTTTTCTCCTCTTCCTTCTTCTACTTTTTCTGCTTCTCCTCCTCTTCCTCCTGCTCTTCCTTCTCCCTTCTCTCCTCCTTTCTCTCCTCCTCCTCTTTCTTTTCTTCTATCATTTCAGTCATGTCCAACTCTTCATGACTCCATTTGGGGTTTTCTTGGCAAAGGCACTGGAGTGGTTTGCCATTTCCTTCAAATCTTTTCTTGACTCTCCTAATTGTTAGTGCTTTCCTCCCTTTTTTCTTATGTTTTAATTTATCTATTTAACCGTTCTATGGGCTGCCATCCCCCTAGAATGTAAGCTCTTTGAAGGTAGGGGCTGTTTGTCATTATGATTTTTGTGTACTCAGGCCTATCACATAGCCTCTCAAGTAATGGGCTTGTTGAAGTCCATGTCCAACTATTTACTAACTTCAGCATCTGAATCTCTGTTTCCTCAAATGTAAAATGAGCATTTTAACTTGGGTGTTCCCAAAGGTCCCTTGCAGCTCTGACATCCCGTGAATATAGAAATATATCTCAGAATATTATTGTCAAGATCAAATGAGATTATGAAAATGAAAGCCTTTTGTAGCCATTATTTATAAGTATAAATTATAAGATCAAAGACTTTGAGGTCATCTTGTCTAAATTAAGTCTACTTACGGCTTTCAGAGATCCTTATGTGTGGATTAATAGCTCCTGTTTATAACCCCCTCATTTTAGAGATGAGAAAACTGAGGCCCAGAGACTTGACTAAAGTCACACAGGTAGTAAAATGGCAGAACTGAGATTTGTACCCAGGACCTCTGACCTATTCCATTTATTATCCCAATGGTGCTGCCATCACTGCTAACATTTTTGCTGCTCCTGTGAAATTTTTTCCCAAACTAGTTTACAAACCACACAAGGAAATCAGTTACTTGACTTAACAGTCATACCATGTACCTTTTTAATTGGCCCTGAAATTCCCACCATTAAAGTCTTTCCTTCAGGTTATTAAGACACCATTCACAAATGAATATAACAAAGGATCTATGGTTTTGTTAGTCCTGTTTGGGTAAAGATTCCATCCACCAATGGCAAAATAAACCAGTCTTTGAGCGTTTATGACTTAGTAGGTAAGTCCTGGGGAATGCTGAGAGGCATTTAGAGATGAAGTGGCTTGCCCATCACCCAGCTAGTTGGTGTTAGAGGTAGGATCTGAGCACAGGTCTTCCTGTCTCCATACCCAAGCTCTCTACCTACCTCTTGGTGTATTTAAAGTGTGGCTCAATTACTTGAGAAGGAGAATGTGTTAGCATATAGATGGGGATAATACCTGTAGCACCAATCTCATTGTTATAAGTGGTCCTGCCAGAAATTGTCTTTAATTATTAGCCACCATTAGCAGTAGCCTGAATTAGAAACTAACAAAATGTTTGGGGATCAGAGGTAGTTTAGCAATCATCTCCCAATCTTCTTAGTTGATGAGGGAGGAAACTGAGGTCCAGAGATGCTAAGTGACTGCTCAGAATTAATCCATAGAGCAGGGCCCTAAAGGGATGGGACGTGGGGTAAGCCAGTGTTTTTAGCTTGATGGGAGAGGAGAAAGAAAAGGTCCAGACATAAGCTGTTGCTTGGAGAAGGCAAGGTGAACTGCTATGAGGCGGGAAGGAGAACAGAGGAAAATGTGAAGACAGTATGAAGCTGGAATGAGGAAGATGCTGAAAAGGGAGTAGGGACTCCAGAAGACACACTCGGCCTGCTTTATAATTTCACCCAAGAATAGCTATGCCGGGAATGCCTTAGAGGCCCAGTCACACACAGAGTGTTTTTCTCTTCTCTTCATCCTATCTAGGATTCCAGAAAGAGCTCAGTCTCAGAGTTAAATTTTTAGCAGGGTTAAATAAGGGTTTGGGAGTGCATGACTTTAGTGGGAAGTGGGGGGAGGGAAGAAGTGCATCCTGGGACGCTTGGAGTTTTCTACCCAGATGAAAGTGTGACCATGCTATTGCTGCCAGGGATAGACCTGAATAGCAAATACAAGGGTGCTGGTGAGCAAGGCCAGAGGTGGGATGGGCAGGAGAAGAACCAAGCCACCTCTGCCAGGGACAGAGCTGGGCAAGGGAGGAAGGGCACTGGTGCACAAGGCCCTTGGCACAGTATACAGTAAACTTTATCTCAATGATCCTCTTTAAGCAAAAGTCCCCCTGTCCCACCCTAGTTACAGATCCCAGCTCCGCTTGGGCTTATTTGGTGATTTGAGCTTCACAATTGAGTCTGAAGGCCTGAATGGAGGATGGAGTGAGTCATTGGAATGTGGGAGGGAGGATTGACCTTGATCCTTGGCCCCCTGACTCAGGGACTTGCTCAGCCTGGGCATGTACTCCGGTGTCCTCTCTAAGGTCAACAACACACCATGGTGCTTCTGTTTGCCGTGCCAGCGCCAGGAAGGGCCTCCGACATTCTCGCCTTCTTTTGCTGCCTAACAGAACAGCAGGATGCAGAGAGCTATTCCAGGGACCCTGCTTCCCATTCCGGGGTCGGGAATATTCAAGCAGGAGATTCTGTGGCTTCAAGAGGAAGAAATGAGCTCCTGGCAGAAGTGAATAATAACAATTTTTTTTTTTTGGTTTGGACCTATAATGTCATCCATAAAGGGATCTCCCCATGTGGAAACTCCCTCAATCTGTGCAGATCAGTACAAT